TTATTTTACAAGCTGTGGATTTCTTCTGAGCCCCAGAGGCCAAAAACAGAACAAAGTAAAACTATTGCACCTTTAAACTAAATGTAAAGGATTATCTGTGCAGCCTTCTATGTGCTTAAGTTATATTTGTAAAATGTTCTGTAATAAGTGTAAAATAAACCTTTTTTTATTTTTTATTGATTTTCTATTTGAGTTTTCAACAGTATGTTAAGAGTCACAGGTGTCAATGCTTCAGACTACAGACTACTACAGACTCCTAAACTCCTGGAGTCCTGTAGTAACAGGACAGGAAGGCAACACAAAGAGACTACACAATTAATTAAATTATATGTTATGTAGGTATATATACGTGTACTTTGTATGTATTTGTGTGCATTTGTTTATTGTTATTGTTCAATGCAATGCAATGCAATAATATATTTGAATTGAATATATAGATATATTCTTAAAATAGTGTTTTTCTTTTTCATATTACAATATATTATTGTGTATCCATGTTAGTGTTATCAGTGATGAAATATGATGAATGTGCCCTGCTTCCCTTTATGTCATTCATCTGACACGTAAGGAGGAAACTATTTACTCCAACACCTGTAGCTGTCAGGAACAAAATCCACTGTCACGCACACAGACATGTGCCAGAAAGGTAATACTTTCTGCTGAGAAAATGATCCACCATGAGACAAATGACTGCTTAGTCACCCTGTTTGGGCCTGGATAATGTGTTTTATGTTTGTCTTTATTAGTTGCTACAGTTTGAGGTAGATAATTCATAGCAATGACATCATTTTGATTTCTGTAACTACAGTAATTAATGACAACTTACTCTTTAATTTAGGAGCCAAATTTATTTAAAGCGGTATAAATAAGCAAAGTATAAACACCCTTAGACTACTGCTGCATATTGTCACTTCTGCTACGTGACTTCAGGGAGTAAAGATCATTATGAAATGAATATTTTGCAATCAATACAGGTGAGGCAACCACATAATTATGCATTTTGA